CACCACTCTGCACTCCTTTTCCCAAAGAGGGGGAGATGGCAGGCCTCACTTACCCACAGCTGAGGCACAAGGAAGAGCAGGTGAAGTACTCATCCGGAAAAAAGGAGCTGTGTGCCATCTGGTCATCGGGGATCTCACCACTGAAGCGGTCGCTCAATGCCTGTGGAGAGGGAAGGTGACACATGAAGGCACTCAGAAGACAGCCCTGTGCTTTGGCCCTTCCACTGCTTGCCTTTCAAGGATCCCCTCGCTGTTGGCATAGTTCTCATAGGCTCCACAGCTGGAAGAGGGAAACTGATGACATGACCCTCACCACAGGACATCTCAGAAAGAACTGGCCCATTTCCCAAGAAGTCGCAAGTAGGCAAAGAAAATTACTATTCACTCCTAATTACCCTGAACATCATAAAACATTTGTCACACTCAATTTCTTATTCAAGACCATCACAGAGTTTGACTACACCCAGCTTATCTCTGTGAAGCTGATAGCAAGAAACCGAACCTTAAAAAGGTGGCTTATTGGGAAGTCAAGGGTAGCAATGAGAAGTGAGCTGGGAGTTTCCCAGGCTTCTAGCCTGGTTCTAACCACAGGTGCTCATCTGGAGTTTACTAGGTCATAGAACTGTAACAACATAGAGAAAATGTCATCAGCCAAAAAGCAAGAAAGAGATATATAGTGTCTTATTAACTCCACTAACCTAAAAGACACCAAATGGCCAAAATGAATGCCAAGAAGAAAGATAAAGTGTTTGCAGAAGCAAACTGAACAGTTAGGTTGAAAGGTAGTTCTGTTTTCACTTTATTTTTACTTGATATTCAAAGTATTCTTCAGAGCTGATACTTCCCTCTAATCTTTAGTCATAGGCAGTGGAAAAAGTTATATAAATTAAACTAAATGGCCTTTCCATGCTGTAAAAATCATTAAATGCACAGAGTTCCAAGCATCAGTCTCCCAACCAGTGGCAGCCAGACACCATTCAGGAGAAGAAACTATGTGACCCAAAATAAGGGGACAACATGGAGGATTCCTGGGAAAATGGCAGGATAAACAAACCATTAATCTGACTCTCCCCCTAAAATACAAGAAATTAGGAAACGGGGCTCAGCTTTGAGGGACTCTGAATCAGGGAACAGAGGAGAGCAGCAGGATATTAGAGAGAGGCAAGAATCAACAAATCAATGAGTTGTATACAGTAGGAAAATCACTTCTCCCACCATCCCTGCCCCTCCCCATAGCTACGTGGGTTGCCAGCTACAGTAATCCAGGGTAATGGCTCAAGAAAAAGAGCCTGCTTCTCTAACCACCACAACTTCTGCCAGTACAAAGAGACAGGACCCCAACCTTCTGCCCTAAAGTCAGCAAGGCCGATCTCACCAGGGGGCTGTTTGAAGTGTGCCAGCACCTCCCAATTGTTGGCTGCAAGCCCACAGAAAATTGCTACAGAAGGGCCCTGCAATGGAGTCAGCTCCCATACTCAGCACTCTGCCTGCCTCCCTGTGTACCCCAACTCTGACCTCTGAAACTAAATTCCCTGGGGTCAATTAGGGTTAGTCTTTCCCCACTTCCAGTTGGCCCTGAGGCTGCTGTGTGAGGAAGCAGGAGCCTTGAATGGAGGTTGAACTCACAGACAACATCTACCTGGAGGACTCTGAAACCAACAAGGCAGACCTTCATGGGAATCTGACCAGAGAATGACATCCGTTCACCAATGTGGTAATTA